AACGTTGCTGGCTAGTATTACTGCGGATGATATTATAGAAACGAAGGGCGTGAACGTTGCAGACAAAGATCTGGATGGCAGTAACAGTTTCTCATTACCACAAAGTTGCTTAGAACTCAGGACAACTGACAGTGAAGGTGTTGACAGCTATTCTGTGGATGAATTCACAGATAAAAGCCATGTGGTTTGCAAGCCCCAAGGCAGAAGGAAGAAAAATAGCAAAAGATCAAATAAGAGCCAGGACTCGTTGGTTTCTTGTCAACAAGCAGAGCTGGAGATGTCTGGGACAAATGAGCTTCATCGTTGTAATCAATTGAAGAAGAGAAAGCATAGCAGTACGAATACGAGTCCATTAGGAACAATGGAAGCCGTTGAAGAGGTTGATGACTGCACTCTCCTGGGCTTTTTGCAAAAAAGATTGAAGAGGACGACAACCACACATGGCAAGAAAGTGGATGGCAGTTCAAGCACTTCCCCTGAAGTTGATAATGACGACAATGATCCAACCCTTGCCTTGCTTCTCAAGGAAAAATTGAAGAGAAAAAAGCATTAAGCGCATAGTGGAAAAGTTGCATTGTTGAGATATTTGAAGTAACAACTTCAATGCATGAAGTTGATGGAGATGTCGGATGGAAAGGCTGTAGGAACAAAGCTTCTTCCTAAAGCGGCGCAAATGGGTAAATGCTAAAACTATAGGAGGTTTGATTCTATAGTTGCGGAATATTTGATTTTTGATTTAGCGAAGAGGAGTTGGAAGTTTTCTTTAGTTATGTGGGCCATTTTTTAAAGCTGGTTTCCTTCCCTTTGAGGAGAAGGGTGCTGGTTGCCCCATATTCACAGCGAGCAAATTTTGAAGAGTTGCTCAGTAGTGAAAATAATCTTTCTTTTTGTACATTTCTCACCATCTTTAGTATGTGTATAGGTTTTTATTATTTTCTCCGTTCTTTTTTTTTCGGGATTCAAACTTTTGCCTACTAGAGAAGTACATGTCAATTATTATAGAGTTATATTCCTTTCTTTTTTTCTTTTTATAGCCGAGGATTGGTTAAATATATGTGTAACTTGGGTAGATTATAAGCTTCCAATTTATTGTGAGACAGAAATAAATTGTAGATTCGAACTTTTTCTTAGATCACAATCAATAATAAGAAAGCCTTTGTTTATGGCTTATAGAGGTTTCTTGCGAAACCATTCATTAATCAAATGATGATAAATAAATGCTGCAGTAGTTAAATTTGAAGAGACTATGATGTTGGAAGAAAATAACATAAACTTTTACCCCTGAATTTTGGCATGTATCTCAATCAAAGACAAAACATTGTTGACCTCAAAAATCATCTTCAACATCAAATTTAAAAACCAAATGATTCATCATCACTCCCAGCAAAACCCTAAAGAAAATTCTAAAGACTGATAAGGTTTTTCTTCTCAAAATAGAAACAAAAAAGTGCATCTGCAAATAATCATTGATATTTCTAATAACGACCAATTCCCCAAACTCTGATGACTCCATCTGTGTAGCCGCTAAACAATGTGCTCCCATCCGCGCTCCAGCTCAAACTTGTGCAGTAGATATCCTGCAAATCCATCATAAAACTTGAATCAGATACACACAGAAAAACCCTCATCAAAGGAAGCACATGTTCAAATATGAAGAAAGACTTCGCTCGTTTCCAAGTCCGCCCACCCAAAAATCACCCTTATGAAACAGATCAAACATTCAAACAAAGAGAAACAGAACGTTCTCCAGACCAACTTTCTATACCACAATTTCAATCGGGATCGATTCAGAAGGAATTATCACACTAGGATCTTTGATGTCAAAGAAAACAGCAAAAAACATTTGCAACTTATTAAAGACCAAAAAAAACAAAGCAAAATCTATTCATAATTGCATGCATATTCTATAAAGTTTGCATAAAATAAAACAAACCCACTTCATTCACCCAGTAAAAATGAAATATTCAGAGGTACAAACAAAATCGCCAGACAATTACAGAAGGAAAGGAAGACTAAATCAGTAATCTATTACGTATGCACTTCCAGTGGTTAATAATAATAACAAATCAATATGAAAGTTGGAGTGTGCAAGCGATGGCTCTGTATTTAGTGTCATGATTAAGCTCTGAAAAGCAGTTCCAGAAAACAATGTAGAACAATATACCAATTATACAAGCCTTACATACTTCAAGACAAGCAAGCTGATCGTTAATAACACGACATACTACCAAGACAATGTGATTGGTAATTGCAAGACAAGAATAAATGGTTCAATCGTCAACGACCGTAGAAAACAATCGAAATGCCTCGAGTATCATGGTGACTGGGAAAAAAAAAGTACAACATGACAGAGAAAATATGAATATACCTTAATCTTGTTGGTAGTAGCAGCATGGGTATCATCAGTTTTCTCCGCCTCGGTTTTCAAATCGACTTTCAAGTCCTCGACAATACTCTTGCTCTCCAAGTCCCAGATCTTAATACTGCTCTCAGTAGCAGCACATAGCCAGTACCTGTTGGGGCTGAAACACAGAGCATGGATAATGGATCCGGCATCCAGGGAGTATAGCTTCTTACCCTCAGCCAAATCCCACAGCAAAATCACTCCGTCTTTGCCTCCGCTGGCGCACAGTGACCCATCCGGTGAAACAGCCACTGTGTTGACATAACCGCCGTGTCCGGCGAGAGTGACTCTCAACTTGCAATTAGTCAAGTTCCACACTTTCACAGTCTTATCCCAAGACGCCGAAACAATCGTTGGCTGGAGCGTGTTAGGGCTGAATCTGACGCAGCTAACCCAGTCAGAGTGAGCGTCACCATCCTGGATTGTGTACTTGCACTCACCGAGAGTGTTCCATAGCTTAATCGTTCGGTCGCGAGAAGCCGAGACGATCTGGCGATTGTCGATGGAGAAAGCGACAGAGAGAACATCCTTAGAATGTCCAACAAATCGACGGGATGTGACGCCGGTGGCGAGGTCCCAGAGGCGGAGCTCGCCGTCCCAGGAACCAGAGAGAGCGAACTGACCATCGGATGAGAGGACAACATCTTGAACAAAGTGAGAGTGGCCGTTGAGTCTTCGTTGAGGAACACCGTAGGTCTTCTCCTCCTTGGTGAGGCGCCACAAGATGATGGATTTATCACGGGAAGAGGTGACAATCATATCGGAATTATCAATCGGAGTGGCTATGGCCGTCACCATGTCGGTGTGAGCCCTCATTGTGCCCCGCAGAACAAGACCCTCCGCCATTTCTTAGTGTGCTCTGGTTCTACGCCTTCGGCTGTGTGCAGATTGTAAATTTGTGAGCGGTAGAGAGGAGGACAAAAGGATTATGAGAATTTATATATAAGGAGCAAGTTAGGGTTTTGGGAAGCCGACCGCATACAGGCGGCTTGTAACTTGAAGAACCCTAGAACCCTTTGGGCTCTCTCAAAACTCAAAGCCAATTTTCATTTTTTGCCTCAATTTTAATCTTAAATTAAAATATAAATGTGAATTAGAGATAAAAATTTATTAGGAGCGGTTTTAGGGACAATACCAACAAACCCGAAAAGAGTAAGAAGAGCTCGAAAAATTCTTTAAACCTAATGACTCCTTAAGCCAACCACGGTTGGGCTTAAGGGTCAGCTGCGTATAAACTAAGACTATTATCATGTGTTGAGTAGATGACCTCGTACACCGCCTGACTAAGCAAATTCTCCCAAAAATTTGCTACATCTTAGATAGTCACTCTATTATGTGAAAGACGGTAGATGTAGATTCTTTGAAATTGCACGATGGAAGAGTTGCATGCCAAAACAAAGAAAAGGATCGAACGAGTGACATGTGAAGAGTTAACGGGAACAATTACTCACCTAGCCTGAGTTCATGTTAAGAACGAGCCACCCTCCCAAAGCGAATGAACCATTTGTCAATCCCTTGATATGGAGTGACCCTCCCAAAGTGTCCCTTGTAGGCACTGAAACATTGAAATGATAAGGGAACTTTGGTGTGCAATTGATGACGTGGGTGGCAAAATATTTGGTTGATGGTGAGAGCCTTTTCATGCCTCACCGCCTTGTATAAAAAGTTGCTCAACTATTAGGTATGATGAAGATCAAGGCTAAAACGACTTGATTCAAAAGGTTACTAAAAGATGTGAGGTAAATGAAGGCAAACCCTACTGACGAAACCTCTCCCAAATTGGAGACAAACTCTAGAGAATCACGTAATATGTACAATAATAATCGCTGAATGAATGAACGATGTGCATAAAAGTGCATGTTCGTCTAACCCATCATCACTATAATGTCACTCGATGACGTATGGGTCCAAAAACCCATCTCAATAAACCAACAACCCAACCCAACCCAAAAAAGAGAGACCACTCGTTTGTGGATTAGTGTTACGGATGGTTCAAAACTAAGGCCAATAGACCCATCAAGTCCAAGCAACTCAAGAAGAGTAAAAATCCCCGTGAACTCACTCAAACTAAAGGTGAAGAGTGCAGGGTGGGGGCATCTACCTAATGAGGAAGGGGACTTCTCAAGTCGACCATGGGTGAGATTGCAAATTGAAGTCCCTCGGTCTTGATCGATTAAAGGTACAATATCAATACCTATGTTGGATGCTATATATGAATTGAAAGACACACTCCTCATTAAAGATACACAATTATTACTATCAATACTCCCGGTCCAATATTGACCTAGAAATCTAGATTCATACTAGACTAGTATAAGGTCCGCTTTGGACCGTTACGTATTTAGACTCATGTTTTTAAAACGCGTCTGTTGTGGAGACGTAGAGCACTACTTCGACCAGTACCTCACACCGTCCAATGACTGACTCTGATATCATTTGTAACATTTTCAAAGGTTTCCACACCCTTACGAGAAATTTTGTTTTTCTCTCCAACCAACGTGGGATCTACGATGTTTTGAGTGGGCGGGTATGTTAAAAAGGAACATATTTTATGTATTCGTGTGCCGACATTCCGTTATCAACTAAGGAAGGAAATGAAGGCAAAAAGAAGAGAAGTGTACGAAGAGCAAATCCAAAGGTCGAAGTTTAAGAGGTAAGGGATAAAAACCAACATTTATTAACCATTGGATCGATCAAATTGGTCACTCCTCTCGGAGTGCAGCTTCTCCGCCATCTTCAAGCGCCAAACCCTCGAATTTCGCAACCCCAAAGAGACTAAGAATCTGTGTCGATTCGAAGTGGGGGGGGGGGGGGGGGGGGGGGGGGGGGGGGGGGGGGGGGGGGGGGGGGGGGGGGGGGGGGGGGGGGGGGGGGGGGGGGGGGGGGGGGGGGGGGGGGGGGGGGGGGGGGGGGGGGGGGGGGGGGGGGGGGGGGGGGGGGGGGGGGAGACCTGCTTCCTTCTGCGCTTGTCGAGTCGCTTAAGCTGTGGGAATTTCGAGTTTTCGCGCCTTATCGTGGACTTGCGCGTTTCTCCATCTCGTTTCCTTCTAGGTCAGCGGTAGTATTGCCTTTTTTTTAGCTTATTTGATGATGGTTTTACGTTTTGTTTCTGGTTTACAAAGTTTTTATTCTCATCTCAATTTTGGTTTTGTTTCAAAATGGATTTGCAGACCACGAAGGCATGGTGATGGATGTTCGGTTTAGTTCTTGACGCCAAAATGTTTCCTATAAGGTCAATTCTCATGTTTCTGTTGCATTATTTCATATGGCTTCCCTTATATTGCTATTGATTGAAGGGGCCTTCTTCTTGGTATTCTTTTTCCCTTGATTCTGCTAACTGGAAGATGAATGCGGCTGTTTATGATAGCTGGTCTAAATTTTGGTTATTTCTTTCGGTAGAAATGCTCCAATTCTCTGATTCGCGACAGTTGAGATTAGGAAAGCACGGTTCGTTTCTAATTGATCAGTATAGAATGAACCATTTCACGTTCTCTGATGATAAAATGTTTAAAAATATCTTTTAGATTCAACCTATTGGTCTCAAAATATGGTTTGGGAATGCAAATTGATGTTGAAGGAAGATTTTGAAAGTTAGCGGTTGCATTATTCTATCAAAAAAGAAGGAAGAACACTATCTAGAGATATTGAACACAGAAAAAAAAGATTGAGAAAGAATTCTTTACCTTCTTTTAAAAACGCTTTACTGAAACAAAGTTGGTATTAGATTCTTGCCAACCCATCTTAATTGGGATCCTATCGTCCAACAACGAGCATGTGACTTGGAGAAAGAGTTTACTTGGGGGAATATGGATGGCTGATTTGGGTTATTGGAACCTCAATTTTAGAAGAAATCAAAGAGACTGAAATTCTTGAATATGAATGTCTTTCTACTGTCACATTATCTTCAAGACAGGACCAAGGCGTTTGGAAGTTAGAAGCCAAGAGCCTTTTCTTTGTTAACTCACTCATAGCCATCTCTCCCCACCTAGTCTTGGAAAATTGCCATAGCTTTACTAGTTAATTTAGCGGTCGATACTTTGAAAATTGTTTGGTTTCTCCCATTTCATCATGTCTTATTATTTCTAACGTATTGCGAGCAGGGATTTCTGGAAAAGGTATAAGAGGAAGATTTTAATTACAGCTGGAGTTTTAGGAAGCGGGTATTTTCTGTACCGACAATATGATTATTACAGTCGAAGGCTTCATGATATTCAGAAAGAGTTGGATAATGAACGTGAAGCAGATGAGCTCATTAAAGCTCAGTTAAGAGATGCTTACTTTTTCTTCCCTTCTTTTTATCAGTATCTGTTTTCTGGGTTCTTTAACTTTTGTGTTTGTCGGGTTTGTTCATGCAGAATACAAGCTCATTTTGAGAACATTCAAAGAATAGCTGATACAACGACGTTGCCTCATGCTTTACAACATTTACATAATCGGATAGAGGAAGATTTGGATCTTTCACACCTGACAGAGAGATTAATGATGGGGAAGGGCGAGCCAAACACTTTGACATTAGCTGAGAAACTTGATTTATGGGAAAGCCTCAAAATACTAAGTATGGAGCGACCTCACTCTGGTGTTTATATTTTCTGGTTTTTAGCTGAATACAGTTGCTTGACATGGTTGGAATGTGTTTTCCAGGCTTCACAAAGATGGTGATATCACTCTGGGCAATAACTTTGTTAAGTTTGTACATTAGAGTTCAAGTCAACATCTTAGGAAGACATATGTACATCGATACTGCCCGTGGTCTTGGTAGCTCCCAGTTGCTTGTAAGGCCTGCTATTATTGCTCCTTCATACTTTTATGAACTGTTTTCAGCACTGTCATTCTTGGAATTACCACATCCTGTTTGATAACAAATTCTTTTTTAGCCTATGTTTTTTCTCCTTAATTTATAACATTTGAATTCTTAACCGAAATATATGCCAATCCTTCGGCCAGATGAAGGCTTCTAAATATGATATGAGATATTAAATTTATCGATACCATAACTAGAAAGCCTTGCGTGTGTGTTACTGTTTAGTTATTTGTTGACTCCTTGTTCTCTTCTCTTATATTGGTCCTTGTGGTTCATAATTCCGCAGGAGGAGGCTGATCTCATCAATAGAGAAGACCAACAGAAATTTCTGGCCATCTCTGATTTTCTCTGTAATTATGGTCTGAATGCCTTGATTCCTAAACTGCAGGTCGCAGCCGGAGAAGTTCTCAAGAGGTAAGGGGTTTGTTCGACTATAATTTCAGAAAAAATATATTTTTTGAGAATTTTCCTCGAGACTAAACAAGGAACCTGGTTGTGAAATAACAGGGTTGTTTCGAAAAGAAAAAAAAAACGTTTTCGATTCCAAGCTCTGCTGTCGAGTAAACTGGCAGCATAGTTCTCCCAAAACATTGTTTCAGAATCTTTTCAGAGATTTCGTTTGATCGATCACAACTATGCCTTGTATTACTAGCTCTTTCGATACTTTCTCAGACGTGATTGATATTCTTTGTTGATTTTCTTGGTTGCAGAAAACAGTTGCGAGATGTCTTTAATACAACCGTACTTCGTGACACTACTACACAAATAATTAAAATTTTCATGAGCACAGGAAGTCCCCATCATTGGTTGGACTACTTGATGCCTGGGGACAATCAATCTAATATTACAGACACGGTCTCCACTGACGACGATGCAGCTGCCCGAAATTTCAACAAGTTTGATCAGCTCATGATGGAGACTAGAGCAGTACTGCTAAGGTATGAGTATTATAAATCAACACTCACCATACTGAACATAGACAATCTCATTAAAAGACATGCATGGAGTATTGAATAGAGATATCAAGTTATTGTGACTTTTGCTCAAAGTCCCTCTTTTTTCAGAGAATTCATTTCAGCTGAAATCATGCTTCCTTGATAATGCATGGTTGATTACAGTCTTAAACTTTCAATCTTGATTCTGTCTCTGAAACATAAACCATCATCTTTTCCTCCTAAATTGGATTCAGTGCCGAGTTCGGGAATGTCGTCGAGACATCGTTAGAAGTGGGAGTCGATGGATTGATGGATGAAATGGAGGCTTCAGTTGCTGGAGGCAGCAGCAGAACATCAGGAATACCCCTGGCTAGGCTTGTGCCAAGAGTGGCCCAGATGGGGCTATTGCTCCTTGAAGATCCAATAAAAAGTAGATTCATCAAAACGATAAGAGGTATACCAGAAGTGGAAATCTTTTTTACTCTTCTTTATGCAAACATGCCTACCTCTTAGAAAGAAAGACCATGGCATGGCATGGATTGGATTGGCTTGGCTTGCACATTCTTGTCATTTCATTAGATTCTGGTTTTGTTGTGGGGGTTACACATCCATATAAGAAGTCTCTGGCTTCCTTTCTTCCTTCTGTCAGTTGAAAGGAGAGCTTAGGGTAAGATAGTGACAATTTATTTGATAATAATTTGAAATTCTTTCAATTTAATGTTTCTGGGTTCCTTTATTTTGATATGGATTCCTTTTTGTAGTTCTTTTATTTTTATTTGTCACAAATATTTTTAGTTTAGTTCCTTAAAATAACGTCTACCCAATGCGTTGGGCATCGAAAATAATGTATTTTTGCTCTATGAAGAGAAATCGTCAATCTTAAAGCCATTTACTTTATGCCCGTTCAGTAAGGTCATGTTTGGTTTTCGGTTTTTGAAAACTAAACCTACGGGTTTGCTTTATTCACGTATTTGTTTCTTTGTTTTATCGTCTTTATTGTCAAAGTGTTGAAAATTATTTTTTTAGAATTAGCTAAAAAATTGTAAATTTATGAACTTTGATGGTACTCCTGATCCGGGAGTGTTTATGATCATGGTAAACGCATCAATTTTCACTATGAACTTTTGATTTTTTTTTAAAAAATTTAATATACAAAATTAAATGTTTTAAAATTTATTATACATAAAATTAAAAATTTGTAGATTTATTAAAAACTAAATACACGTAAATCTTGGGAGACGATTTTGGGCCATGTGGGTCGGCCCAACATTTGTTCAAATCAAGTGAGCATCTAATAAACAATGAATCTACTTGCCCATTGGCCAATGGCGGGAAAACAAGCGGCAAAAAAAAAAAAAAAAAAAAAAAAAAAAAAAAAAAAAAAAAAAAAAAAAAAAAGAAAAATCCTTGAACAGCCGAAAGAAGCTACCTTTCCACTCTCTCGTCTTTCTCCCTATCTTCATCAGCTTTCTTTATGCTACGAACTGAACTGCACACTCACCATGTCCAAACCCTAATTCCATTGGATTTCCTTGGAGAATTGTGCCCCAGATAGTTCTTCTTTATGAATCCATGTGTCTGGCATGAGAAGATTATCGCAGGTGAGAAGACGTTTTGAAGGAGTATATTGGAGGCAGCAATGGCTGAGCTCGATCCATCAAAGAAAGTGGCCGATAGATATTTAAAGCGTGAGGTTCTCGGGGAGGGTACCTATGGTGTTGTATATAAGGCTATTGATACTCAGGTAGGTCTTTGACTACCCTTTTTATTATGATTCTGCATCAAGGTGGTATGCTTTCTTTGCGTGATAAGTTAATAACGGTTTGATGAATATGAAATAAAGTATGGGGATGGAAAAGAGAGGGGCAAGTCGTGAAGTTAGAGCTAAATTCACTGTAATTGATTTGTCGATGATTTTGAGATTGCTATGGCAGCCATGGCGGCTGCTTCTTGGGCTATTTGGAGTATTTCTTCGAGTTTTATCACATTGGCTATGTTTCAATGCGGTGGAGTACCTGGTGCTTTTGCCCTAAGAATCAAATTTGTTTTCCTGAATTGTATCTCATGGTAGCTGAATAGATGTCTGGACTTAAGTCGTTAGTTCTTTTGTTTACTTGAAATTCTGATTGTTAGAAGCTTGAAAATAAGAACTTAAACTATATATTCAGTTTCTATTAAGTCAAGAAAGAAGGGTTTTCAACTTGATTTATCCACGCCCTTTTTTACTCTTTAGACAGGCCAGACGGTTGCAATCAAGAAAATTCGGCTTGGGAAACAAAAAGAGGGAGTAAATTTTACGGCTCTTCGAGAAATCAAGCTGCTTAAAGAGCTCAAAGATCCAAATATAATTGAGTTAATTGATGCATTCCCTCACAAAGGAAATTTGCATCTCGTATTTGAGTTTATGGAGACAGACCTTGAAGCTGTTATACGTGATCGAAACATATTTCTTTCCCCAGCTGACATAAAATCATTCCTTCAGATGACGTTGAAAGGACTTGCTTATTGCCACAAGAAATGGGTTTTACATAGGTACCCAAATTTTGTATGATTCTATTATTTTTGCTGTTTAGCTGTTCAAATTATATAGCATCTGGATACCTATGCTTTACTTTCTATTATGCTTGCTTGCACTTTACAGGGATATGAAGCCAAATAATTTGTTGATAGGATCAAATGGTCAACTGAAACTTGCAGATTTTGGTTTGGCTCGAATATTTGGGAGTCCGGATCGTAGATTTACTCACCAGGTATACTTCTTCTCCCTCTTTTGCATTATTGATAAACGCTGGTAAAGATTTATTTCTTTGGAATCTAAATTGTCATGTGTGGTAGGTGGTGCTTTTAAACCTGGTTTCGTATTATAGACAGTTTTTTTTTTTTTTTTTTTTTTTTTCAATATAAAATGTTACAGGGCCAGAACCCATCCTCATTTTACTGTGGCCAGATATTTTACCCCTATCCCGGAATTTTATTCATCTCATTCTTAACACATGTCTGAATATTCATAATAGGTGTTTGCCCGATGGTACAGAGCGCCTGAGCTATTGTTTGGCACTAAGCAATATGGCTCTGCAGTTGATGTTTGGGCAGCAGCTTGTATTTTTGCTGAACTTTTACTTCGTCGACCTTTTCTTCAGGCAAGTCTATATTTGTATCAATAGATGACCCTTTACATGGTGATGGCTGATGTTTAACCCATGGGTTGTTCTACCTTTTTCTGCTTGTGATATTTAAGCTTCCACATGTAAATAACTTCAGTACGAACTTAGTCTCATGCATTAATCAGTCTTTTTATTCATATCGGTACCATGTTGGTGCTCAAATTGGTATGCATGATACAATATATGAGATTTTTAGGTTGTGTTTGTCCTTTTTATCCATTCTATTTTTTTCCTACTAGTAAACTCATTTGACTTCAATGCGAGCTCTCTTTTAATTACAGCCACCCAATGTATATTTTGAGCTTCCAAATTAAGCATGGTACATCCACATGGTTGTGTACGTACAAATCTAGCTTAGAACTAGTTGTATACAATAAATTATTAATCTACTATCTATTTTGGGCAATGAATTGGCCCCTGGGTTCTTGCTGAGTGCGAGTCATGTCGTATGCAATGATAAACATGTTTCTATCAACTGGCTAGCCTTGCATTTCCTACAGTGCATTAGGCTTTCCAGGGTGTATCTTAGCATGAGAACTGATTTTGCTAATACCAATGAGGGAATATTTATCTCACAAATTTAGTAGCCCTTCGTTTATTAAGCTTAAAGTTAACAAGCCTAGGAATATATCATCTGTGTATGGATTCTGAGAAGAACTATAGAAACCTGAGTTTTTGTAGATAGTGTTGTTAGCATGTGGCATAGAGGTAGGTTCATAGCTTTAAGTCTAGCAAACTTGTATCTTCTTAACTTGATTTACCTTCAGATTTTATCCATTTGTCAATGGTTCGATAACTATACTCTTCCAAGAGCCCAAGGGCTTGGTCGCTGACAATTTTTTTCCGTTATATTTTAAACCTGTACTTGCATATTGTTCTTGGATTTGTATTATTATGTAAAATAGATCTAAATTCAAAATTTTGGTTTCTTGTATTTCTTTTGATTGTTTGTTAAATCATTTCTTTCGTTGACAGGGTTCAAGTGACATTGACCAATTGGGGAAGATCTTTGCAGCTTTTGGAACACCAACGCCTTCTCAATGGCCTGATATATTATACCTACCTGATTACGTGGAGTTCCAATATGTTCCTGCACCTCCCCTACGATCATTTTTTCCTATGGCTAGTGATGACACGCTGGATCTCCTATCAAAGATGTTTGCATATGATCCAACATCTAGAATTACCATTCAACAAGCATTGGAGCATAGGTTTCCTTTTTAAAATATGAAAATATAATTTAGAAACATAGAGCTGTTTTCGATAAGTTGCTTACAGTTTTTCTTTTGTAGATACTTCTCATCTGCACCACTTCCCACAGATCCTAGTAAGCTTCCAAGGCCTACTTCAAGGCAAGAACCTACGAACTCTCGAGGTTTGGACTTAAATTCAAATGAGGTTCCTACTGTCCCTTCTCCAAGAAAGTCGAGAAGAGTAATGCCAGATCGTGAGGCTTTTGAAGGAAATGCATATAAAGCTGATAGGCTTGATGACCATGTTAGTGAGCGAGAGGCAGCTGCTGGAAATACAAGCAAGAATGAAGCAGTGCCTATGTCGTTGGATTTTTCTGTTTTTGGTGGAAAACCTCCAAACAGACCTACAATTAACAGGTAAATTTTTCTTAGCGTAAATTGCTTAACCGATTGTCTAGTCTACCTTAGAGGTCGAGAGAACCCTCCCTAAGAAAAGACTAACAAAAAAAGCCCTCCAATTTCTAATAATCAACGCAAGGCTATAAGAACACCATAAATCATGGGATAGCAATCTTAAAGGTTCCCACAAATCGTGAGCATAATATGCAATCATAGATTTAATTAGTAAATGGTGATAAATTAGTTCATGAATCAAATCCCGCTGAGAGGAAAGAGGCAGGTTATTTATTTATTTAGTTTGAATAAGGAACGAAAATATGGTATAATATTTAAGTATAAATATAGTTTTCATGACATCTAGAAGTTTGAATAGTTTGTTTTTTCCCTCCTCTTGCAGTGCTGACAGATCACATCTTAAAAGGAAATTAGATCTTGAATTCCAGCAATAAGGAGATTCTGTATCAGTGTACTGCAATATGAATTCGGCCTTTCAATTGAACGCTAGCCTACATCTATGAGGTACGTCTTTTGAGTTTTCGAACTTGAATTATTCTCTTCTTGCTCTGAAATCTCTATGATTGATTAGTTTTCCCCCCTTTCCTTGTGCCTTCCTTGCTAGTTAGTATAAAAGGGTTAGTGTTCTTCTCAAATGAGTGCTTGGAGAAGTGAATCAAAATTTCCATATATTTAAGCAACATTGTAACTCTCTTAATAGCTCCTCTCTTAATATTTAGATTGGTTCAAGATTTCTGGTGTTCGATATTCAGTATTCACTCCTTAGCTGGCTTAGATAAAAGAATCTTGCTGAATATCCCCACATGATTGCTATTTGGTTCTTTTCCAGGGAAAATTGTGGAGTTACTTCCCAAGTGATGACTGCCGGATGGGTTCATCTTTTACCCTCTTATCCCCTCATGCGACTGCTAAATTATACGGGTGTTCCATTATGTAATATCACATATAGCT